TTTATTTTTGGGCAAATTTGTTTAATGTCATTTTTTTTATGAGAGCGGAACACAATGTAGTTTGTTTTATTTTTATTCAGAGAGAGTTTGTTGCATTTAAACCATGTGTCTATTTTCACTAACTCACTATTTATGATTTGTTCAAGTGTATTTGGATTTTTGGGGGAAAAAAACAAGTTTGTATCATCGGCAAATAATACTTTATGTAGTATGGACGAGGAATTAACAAAGTCATTTATGTATAAGATGAAGAGAAGCGGCCCTAAGATGGAACCCTGGGGAACTCCATGATTGATGGGTTTGTATGATGATTTGTGGTTGTTAATGAAAACATATTGATGTCTTCCGAACAGGTAGCTGCGGAACCAGTCTAGCACTAGGCCTCTAATACCATAGTGTTGTAGTTTATTGATTAGGATGTCAATCTTAATGGTATCAAAAGCTTTGGACAAGTCCAAAAAAATGCCAATACCATAGTCGCCTTTGTCAATTGCATCATGGATTTTATCAGTTAAGTCAAGTACTGCCATATATGTAGTATTTTCCTTTCTGAATCCATACTGGGATGGGACAATGATGTTTAGCTTGTCAAGATAGCTGTTGAGTTTGTTGTAAACTACTCTTTCCAGGACCTTGGAGAGAGTAGGCAAGATTGATATTGGTCGGTAGTTGCTCAGATCGTTCTTATCCCCAGATTTAAAGACTGGTGTGATTCGTGCAACTTTTGCCATTTGGGGCACTACTCCAGAGAGTAGAGATAGATTGATACAGTGCGTAAGAGGTGCAGTAATTATGTTGGAGATGCTGTCCACAAAGAGTGGCCTACAGTATTTAGGAAAGTTACTGATTAGCATAAACCCTGATTACAAATCACATTAAGCAATGGTTAAGTAGATTAAGGGAATGTCCTGGTGCAGAAACAAGTTCTTGGAAAAAAATCAATGAATATAAAGCTTCAAACTGTTGTTGACATGTTTAAACACTGAGCGATAAAATAACACACATCGTCTTTGTAGCATCCATGTTGTTTCCACATGACAACTTAAAGCTTGGACAAAAATGGGACCATCTGAGGAGCACGTGAATGAAGCATGAGTCCAATATAATGCGAGTTAAATGACAGTATGAAGAGATTACAAACATTTAAATTCCAGAAGGCTCAGATCACAATAGTGACGTCTTTTCCAGTTCCAGTATCACGTGAACGCAGTGTTTGTGTTTGAAGCCACGTCTGTCTACAGTATTCTCCCCAAAGACCTGAGTGCGTCATCGGGACGCTGTTTCTACTACCAGCTCTCGAGGGCAGCTGCTCTGCCAGTCGTGACGGAGAGAGAGAGAGAGCAGTGAATAAACAATAGGAGCAGAGGGATTCACACAGATGGAAGTGAAGGGATGGTGAAGGGGGTGCTCCACCTTCAAGGTAAAGCATTTACTGCCCTTTAGCTGCGTCGGGCAGTTTTCTTCCCTGAATGGCGCAACAGCATTCATTCCAAAGTACAAGCTGTGCTCAGCTCTGACGTATGAGCGTGTGTGTGTGTGTGTGTTTGTGTGTGTGTCAGGAGGTCAAATGCACAGCACGGCAGTAATGTGGCGTTCCCATTCCTCTTCACTGACCTCCACAGGTTAGCCTGACATGAAGGAGAAACGAGGTCTGATAGCTCAGCTCTCTGACTAAACAATAACTAACTGTGATGCTCATTCTGAAACACAAACTCCTGATGCAGCTCAACGGTGCACTGCGCAGGATTTACCTAGAAAATAAAAAACAATGTATAGACTCATACAAAAGTAATTCCTCTAAATGATCACTCATGACCCGCTCTCAGTGTGTGGTGCTGTATTTATCTACAGACTGTTTTCTTATGTTACTGTGATCAGGACGTTTCAGGGCTGCAGCCTCAGGCAGGTGTGTGTGTGTGTGTGTGTGTGTGTGTGTGTGTGTGTGTCGCGCCCTGCTAATGACAGCAAGCAGGTGAGGTTGGTGCTTTGTAAAAAGGTACACTGCTAATTATTTCCAGGAAGTTATAATATGTAACTGTAATCTTTCACAATAAATGACATTATTATCACCTCACAGGCTTTTACTGGGATATTTAACTGTATTCAGAATTTTATTTTGAAATTCATGCAGGTAAATATAACTTTACAGAAGCATAAATCAATCGACAATCAGGCTAAGTGTGTTCTAACTCTCCTCTCCTCTCCTCTCCTCCTTTCCTTTGCTGTCCTCTTCTCAATTTGTTCTCTTCCTCTCCTCATTCCCTTTTAAATCATATAATTATCTTCTAAATAACATTTAAATATTCAACAAAGAATCCCAGAGAACAGATGCCTGCAGCTCCTCCTCTCCTCCTCTGCACTCTTTACGCAGCGTAGCTTCAAACCTCATGTCATTTTTGTCTCAATTAATCACCACAGACGTGACATTGGAGACACAAACATTATTTCAAATTGAGTTTTGGTGAAAAAAGACACGTGGAAGTGAGAAAGCTATTTGGCATTTGTCTCTGCTCACACTGGGCAGCGGGTGAACCTGAATCTGGCAGAGTTGGAGGGAGACAGTGTGTTTTTCACTTGTTGTTAAGACTAATGTTGGGTCACTACCTGAATTAGACTGGCTGTATTATGATGTTCTAACAGTGGTTAAATATCACAACGGCAACGACAAACAATTATTAAAAGAAACTGAAAAAACATGTCTTGCAAAAGGGGCACTTATCTGCACAGAGGGTCAAAGGGCAGGTGCTTGAGCACGCGCTCACTGCAGAGAACACCTTTACGCCAGGGCCACACTGCCTGCGAAGCGCAGCGCACCGAAATTCTCGCGCGCGCCGGAGAACCTCCGTTCACATCAGACGCGCATTTCTCCACACTGTCGACAAGCGATTCTGCTCCCAGCTGTTGTTTTTCACTGCCTGGCTTGACACATTCGCTCGCAGCTCGCGCAGAAAATAGACCAGACGCCGAACTGATCGCTGCAAATCGAGAGCCTGCCGCAGAGCTTCCCGCGCCGCGGCCAGTGTGGATGACACAGTTGGCACCGAAAGGAAACTGCCTTCACTTCTCGGTGCTTCGAGGCTATTCGCGGCGCTTCCACGGGCGGTGTGGCCCTGGCGTTACAGTCACTAAGAGTTAAATGAAATCATGGTTGTTCACTGAATGATGGAAAAAGGCCAATTAGTGCCTGACTTCTTTATTAAAGCAACAACAGTCTGTTTTGCTGCCCTCATATTAAGATGTCAATGCTCTGATTGCTGAGCTTATGTTAAAAACTGTGTCCTGATGCATTCACCAACATAAGAGTAGCACCGAGGACCTGAACGCAGCACTTACCCCGTCATCGGTCCCCCCTGGTCCAAAGTGTACACCTGTCTGGGATTCAACAGGTACCTGAACTTCCTCAGGACCCTGCAGGACGGAGAGAAGAACAGGAGAACAACTTCAATAGTTACAGTGAGAACCATGAAGAACATGAAGCAGCTGCAGCTGTGCTCATTATTACATCAGCGTTATGCAGGCTGAATGTTTCAGGTTATGAAAGAATGTTCATCTATAAGTGAGAAGAATGAAAAAGGTAAAGTAGCTCAGCCTCTCAAGGCCTCTGCATACTGTCAATTGAAGCGGGATTTATACTTTTATGTCAGCTCTATGCAGAGCCTACACCATCGTGAGCATTTATACATGTCTGTCGCTCTGCAGTTGGGTTTTCTCTGAAGTGCTGTAAAGTTTAGTTGATTCAAAACACACGTTAAACACACATTAAACACACATTAAACATGGCTTAATAGAGACAATTTCAAACACAAGTACACAAATCAGCTTCACTATAACTCGTAGCATTCTCAGACAAACACTTGTCTTTATCTGGACACATTTTCCCCACAAATACAACATGCTAACATTATTAGCACAAGCCTATGGCATTTTACATTGTATAAATTAGCCTAGCAGCTAGCGGACTTTTCCTCTGCTCATATGAAGCCAGGATAAATCACACACAAGACTTAAAATGCTATTTTAGTGGAGGCTTTATTGTCTTCACAATTTATTGTTTCTTATCTGTGAAATTAAAGTAAATCAAAGCTTTGTTTCCACTGAGGGAAATGGTTTCAGCTTACAGAGACAGGCCTGCGTCACCGCGACATGTAGCTACGTTTCTGAGGATTTGCACTTGGTACTTGATGGGTGTAATAACATCATGGTTCCAATCTACCTCAGACACTATCAAATTTAAGGCATGTCCAATGGTGCAATATATGAAGCTCAGCGTAAGTTCAATCAGGAAGACTTTCTTCATCCGTTCACAGTTCTCTCTCTATCCCACGGCTTCCTCCAGTCAGCTGATTATGGGCGTTCCCTCTCCTGGTTAGCCAATCAAACTTTGCCACGATCTCCTTCAGCCATTCATGTCGCTGCTGCCAAACTTTAAACCCGTTCTCCTCTCTGCTCCTGTCAGCTGTCATTTTAGACCCCGTTCACCTCCACTCATCTTATCCAGAGCCCAGGATGAGCTCATCAAAAGCCTTCTCTTCACATCCAGTTCCTCCAACGTCTAGACTCCATAGTGTCAGGGTTCCCTGATCTACCACATCTTTACCTCCCTCCTCAAATACATGACATCATGACCGGTCTAGTCGGCAACATTCTTCTCTCTCAGAACGGGTGTCTCATGATTGAAATGTCAGGTGAATCGTAGCACGATGATAAGATAGTTCATGAACAGGAAAAAAAAAACGCAAGCAAAGAAATGTCCTCAACTTGCATCATCCATCTTCACTCTCTCATGATGCAACTCTAATTTAAAAGACCAAAGAGGCTCCACATTTTTCTCACAATCGGGCCGCACAACTCTGCATCATGTAAGGTATCTAAAAACTCTGCTGGGACAACTCGATGGGTCTCATGTATAGTCAAAGTTCTACAAAGTTTTCAGAGATTTAAATGACATATATGTTGGGTTAATTTTCAGAGAAATGTGTAAAAAAATGAACATCCAGATTATGAATATTTAACTCAGAGTGAGCATCATGTGGCTTCAGTGAAAGCAGGAGGAACGACTTCTGTACAACCTCCATACACGTCCTAAATCGTCTGTTCTGCTGTTTGAAATGTGCAGGAACAATCTTGTCAGAGATCAGGAGGAAAACGCAGCGTGATATAAAAGAGAGAAGAAGAGTTTTAGTTTGCATGCTCCTCGTTCTTCCATCTTTTCCATCTCTTGGCTCTCACAACCTGTCGGTGTATAACAGCCAGCTGCACGTCGACGCAGCAGTTTCCTGTAACCTTGTGAGAGTTACATAAAATGCCCATTGAAGGCTGAACAATCGTCCTCATGCAGGCAGTTTTAATATGCTTCTACTCTCCAATAGGAGGCTGTGTGTGTGTGTGTGTGTGTGTGTGTGTGTGTTTCATTAGACTGTTTGAATATATTCATGTGAACAGATGTGAATAGATGCCTCAGCCTTGGCATGAAAAGCTACAGCACAGAGAGGTGCATGATATAAGAGGAGTATAAGGGCCACACGTCAAGGATACAGTCGACCTTGTCAGTATGAGAAACAATAAATCAGAGGAGGATGAAATCTTGTGATACAACATGTCCTCTCTGTGTTCTGCATGTGGAGCCATTGACGCCCCTTCATCCGTCCATTACAGATATTTCAGTTTGCATGAATATGAGCACATCTGTTAATGTGGTTTCTCCTGAACTCCTGACACAGTTTACAGAACAAACTCTTCAAATTCCTGATATTTATATCACACTGCTGTTTATACGCTAAAAGAAAAATAATTTCCTTGTTACTAAAATAAATTCTGAAGTACAATTTCACTAATTCATCGACACATGCTAACACTCGTTTTTTATTCTCAAATGTTTGACTAAGAATTTGAAATTCTCCACATTTCAACTTTCTTTTCAATATTTCGACTTTATTCTCAACATTTCAGCTTTATTTTCAACATTCTGAATTTATTCTCGACATTTAGATTTTTTTCTGGATATTTCAACTTTATTCTCAACTTTTCAGCATTATTTTCAACATTTTGACCTAATTTTCGACTTTTCAACTTTATTCTCGATGTTCCGACTCTAGTCTCAACATTTTGACTCTATTTTCAACATTTTGACTCTATTTTCAACATTTTGACCTAATTCTCAACGTTCAACTTTATTCTCAACATTTCAGCGTTATTCTCGACATTTTGAATTTATTCTCAACATTTTGATTTTTTTCTGGATATTTCAACTTTATTCTCAACTTTTCAGCATTATTTTCAACATTTTGACCTAATTCTCGACTTTGGACTTTATTCTCAACATTTCAGCTTTATTTTCAACATTTTGACTTTATTCTCGACATTTTGACCTAATTCTCAACTTTTCAACTTTATTCTCGACTCTGTTCTCAACATGAAGACAACAGCAGATGAAGTGCTCATGTGGGTTGCAGTATCATGGTATCAGGAAGGTGCTCTTTGGTCAGGAAGTGCAGTACATCTTGAAAAAACAAAATCCAAGGCAACTCTTCTCTGGTGCAAAAGTTAAAAGGCCTTTATTAAATGGCTAGTTCATGATAAACATTAAAATCACCAACATGTTTCGGCCATGCTCACTGGCCTTCACCAGGGCGTATGCCTTATGCCATATGCATATGACTTTTGCACCAGAGAAGAGTTGCCTTGGATTTTGTTTTTTCAAGATCTATTCTCAACATTTTGACCTAATTCTCAACTTTCCACTTTATTCTCAACATTTTGAATTTATTCTCAACATTTTGATTTTTATTTTCTGGATATTTCCACTTTATTCTCAACATCTCAGCTTTATTTTCAACATTTTGACTTTATTCTTGGAATGGTATTTCCACTTTATTCTCGATATTTCAACTTTATTCTCAATATCTGAACTTTATTCATGACTTTTTAACTTTATTCTCAACATTTTTAGTTTGTTCTCAACATCTAAGTTTTATTCTAGAAATGGTATTTCCACTTAATTGTCAGCATTTCGACTAAATTACCCACATTTTGGCTTCATTCTCAACATTCTCAATATCCTTCTTCCTCTGATTTATTTTTTCTTATTCGTGTCACTACCATACTTCCAAACATAATTTCACATCAGTCAGATGATTCATGTAAAATCTGTTATGATCAGTATTATCCGTATGTGGGGCAGAAGCTTATACAACTTGTGATACACTGATCAATCAAATCCAACGTGTTATGAAACTGAACTTTTTTCACACAGACAAAAATAGCAGTACAATAGCCTCTGGTTTCCTGTAGTAAATTATTTATTTATTTTTGTTCTTGTAACGTCTATTAATAGAGAATAATTTCCTTTCTAATGGCAATAAAGAGAGTGTTGCTATGGTAATGTGTCAGGCTGAGGCAGAGCAACAGGGTATGATTGGTCTGTGTGGTAGGTGGGGAGCAAAGAAACAATGAGGACATTTCTTCACAGCGTGTTCGACCCCCGTCATCTTTAGATTACTGTATTCAGAGAGACAGCAGAGGGAGGTGCAGAACGTACAGTATAGGGCACTTTGTGACTCAAATCACTTTCTGTAAGTGTGTGTGATTTCAAGAAAATAGAGCAAAAGACCTCTGATAATAGTGTCATTTAGTCCTGCCATATCTGGCAAAGGAACTGATTTCATGTGTTCATATAGATAATTTCCTCACTGCTCCCACTACAGGCAGACCCTCTACATGAACCTATAGAAATTATATTCAAAGCTCACAACCAACAAGTCTTTTGTCTGCAGCAGGAAGACATTCATCATCACAGCTTACAGAAATAAAAAGTGAAGAGAAGACAAATGCACCAGTATATTCCAAAAATGAAATAAAATAGTGGTTAAATAAATGGTTTATTTAAGGGTTTGTATAGAGGATATTTTTACCCTGAATTAAAAAAAAGACACACTTGTGGCAAATTATAATAACATTGCACTGATCCAAACAAATGTTAAAAAAACTCTCTAATTATGTGAAAATTAATATTGAAATAACAAATTAATATTTAGAAATCATCGTTTCATTTTAAAATAAAAACAAAGACAACTGACTTAAACTGACAAGGGTGGTGAAAGAGGGAAAGAAAACTTTTTAAAATTTTTAAATGTTGATAAGCTAAACTCAGCTAAGCTAATATGAAATAAGATAAGATAAGAAGATGAGATGAGATTAGAGATGTCTCCTGGAGGAAATTCATAACACAGTTAAAGTTGTGAAAAGTTTGCTGTTGGTTGCTGGTTGAGGCAAATAAAGTAAATATATAGAGTAAATATTACACGTGAGTGATGTCAGTATGTGACAGACAAACCTAAGTTACATAAAATCACTTTAAAACCGACTTTGGGTTTCATGCAAGACACAAACAGCTGTTTCCTGGGTGAAAGTCTGTCTTTAGATCCCTTCTACACTGCCTGGTCAAGACAGGAATATTATGCTTTTCTGCGATCGTGGAGTGGGGGGGCAGAGTTGCCGTGCCTCTGAGCCGGAAACAGAGGTAATAACGAAATGATATCTGATATCTATCTTATGCATGTAACCCAACATGGGAGATTTAAAAAGTAGTTGTTAGCAGCTAGCAGCTAAATATCTGCAAATTAGGAAAATAATGACGTCTGGGAGCTCCTAACCCTCTGAGCAGAGAATGAGATCACCTGCCACAAAACAGGGAAGGTAAATGATCGTTACTGACTCGTTAATGTTGTTGTTATTGTTTATAAAATGCTGCCAACATGTTATATATCACACTTGATAGCAACGCTGAGTTGTCAAAAACCATGTCACGCCTCTATTGATTCCGCAATGCCGACATGAGGTTACACACAGAAGCATGACGATACCGTTGTTTGGTTCTGTGTAAAAATTCAAGGGCGGCGTAAGGAACGGGCTTCGTAGCAGCTCTGTAGCGCCATCTCTGTCTGAAAAGGGCTATTGCTTGACCCATCCATCTCCCCCGCCCTACATGGACTTTCTTGCTCTTTATCAAGAGGGCGTGACAAACTGTTGGTTTTTGACCACTTGAGAATCAGAAAAGGCTGTTTATTTATTTTATTTTATTCCACTTAAAAAAGTAAAAACAAAAAGTAGAAAGCAGTCTTTACCTTTGACCTATAAAACAATCAGGATTCTAAATGTTCACGTGAAGCCAAACTGCCGTCATCATCTTCATGAGGTTATATAATTCATCCCCTGTCCACATGGTCTGATGATATTACAGCAAATGTAAAAGCCAACAGTAGGATGAACCACCTGACCCCAGCAGAAGGCCCGTGGGTGGTGGGAACTTACCGCTCTCCCTGCCTGCCTCCACTCTTGGGATTGACCAGCACCAGGAGCGGGTGAGTACCTGGCAGAGGAGTGATCTGGAGACAGAAGTAAAAAACAGCCTCAGGCATCTGCTCAGCAGCTTTGTGTGGTCACTTCAACAACCTGCAGGACGCTGGACATACCTGCAGCGCCTGTCCGTCTCCAGGGGAGAATTTGAAAGTCTGATTGATGTCATCAGGGCTGGTGTTCGGTGGTGACTCGCCCTCACCACGCTTCACCACAGAATGGCGGTCCTGTAAAGATGGAGACTGTTATTAGGACGCAGATCAGTAACCAAGGTTTACCTACAGTCGTATTCATTCCAGAGAAGAAGAAAACTGTGCAGTTGAAAATATCCTGAATGAACTCTCTCTTTATAAACCAAGTTGATCTTTAAATACTCTGCAGGTGTGATTCTTGTATCAGTGTATGACATACCCAGCATGAATATGGTTAATAAGCATATGAATCAGCTTGTCAAAGAGGTATTTGTGCAGAAAATTGGAAAGTCAGACCAGAAACCTGAATATAGAATCATCTCTGAGTGTGAAATGGAGGCAGGTGTTTGGTGGATGTGACGCTCTGACACGACTTGTTAGAGGAAGACAGCAGCGTGTCACTAATGCAGCCAGCTCAGCCGTCAGCGCCTCTGTTCTCCAGTGTTGATGCAGGCTGAGGTGGCAGCAGGTGAACAAGGAAACCTAAAAGTCCTTTTTTGTTAATATATGATCCTCTGAATTCTCCTTCCAGTTGGGCCTCCCTGGGATCCGTCCGGGTGGAGACTTCCAGGAGGTGTTTTACTCCTGAAGGTCTAATGAGGCTGTTCACTGGCAAAAGTTTCCTCACAGACAAAGAACAGCAGCTGTGGTCAGTTTGGATTCATGACAGAGAGGTCGGTCCTACTGGCTGTTCTACAAATGCACGTGCACGTCCCTTGAGTGAAAGCCTGAGTCAATGTCACAGACTCCTGCAGAGGAAGTTGCTATTCCAGCATTGACAACAATTGACTGAACTGCAAAGCAACTCAAATAAGGAAGATGGATTTATCAAAAAGAGTCTAAAAGAGAGTCTGACAATAAATAAAAATTGGTGAAGCATTCCAGAGATGGAGAGAATGCAGAAAGGCAAAAATCAGAGACAAAAAATTAACCACAATGCAGGAAATGAGTCTTAGACGCAACAAATTTCAGGCACAGAACCTCAAACCAGTCTTGATTTCATTGACAAAAACTATGAGCAAAATTTTTCATCAACAAATTTTTTCCATGATGACAACGAGACGATGACGGGCTAAAAATAGATCTTGATCATAAAAACTAAGACGAAATCTACCTCTGTTGGAGCTCGATCAAATGGATGATTCATAATTAATATAATATCTGAAGCCTCATTTTTATACAAGTAATATTCATACTGATTTATATCAACTGTTTGATTGTATTCCCTGATCTTTGCTGAGCAACAGTTTTGTGTGAAAGGAATTAAAGGCCTGTCCCAAATACAGGCCTGTTGAGTTCAGTGATTTAAGCAAATAATAGCCCAGGCCATTAATCGAGGTTTTATGGTAACTGTCTTGTTGCCTAAACCACAGCAACAAACAAAAACTGTAACAAACTCCCAGCAGCGGGTCAGGTGTGATGTGGTGTTGGAACTGAGCCGTCTTTAGAGCATTGTCTCTGTTTTTGCACTTTAAGGTGCGAACACACCAAACCGACATCAAAGAACTAGCGGCGACGAAAGCCAACTGTTACGTCGTCTACGTCGCCTCACGTCGCCCTGTGTCAGTTGCATTTGAACACACTAC